GTGATCGTTTGGAAGGAGATCGCTAGGCCTCTGTTCTGAGCCATGTCTGAGTGCATCTGGACTACCAGCCTTTCAGTTAGCAGCCCCGCATGTAACCCTCGGTGCCCCCCAGGGACTCCGTCATGTCAATAACAATTGCCGTGCGGGTGCTCTTTAAGCCGACAGTCACACCACAGGGTGGGTGACCGCACTGCCCCAGTCTCAGAGAGGACACAACAGGCGTCCATCACCTTGCTGCGGGGCAGGGCCTTGACAAGGAACTTGAGTCTTCTCATCTGCGTTTTTTAGCCATTCTTTCCCCTCCTTTCCCCTCCTCTGGGTCCCTGAGGCCCCATCTGGGGGTACAGGGGAGGGAGGGTCAGATGCCCACTTCCAGGCCTGTAGGATGGCCTTGGAGTTGGGGGGGAGGGCAGGGTGTGAGTTGAAAGTCAAGCTCAGCAGATTTGACCTCTAGGCAGAGGTGTTGCCGCTGCCTCCTCCCAGGCCCCCTCCGCCCAGGGAGGCCCCAGGTCAGTGGAACTGTGAGAAGGAAGGGGGAGGTGGGAGAAGATCCAGGGAGCCCTGAATGCCAGCCAGCTCAACCACTCACCAAGGAAGTCTGCTTAGGGGCTAACGTGGGGGCTAAGGGAAGAATCAGGGCTTGAAGCGGAGCCTGCCAGAGCCCAGGCGCATGGCTCCCCGGCTCCTCAGAGTGTGGGCTTCCTGAGGTCCCCCAGCCTGGAGAGGGCTCAGGGGAGACTGAGGTTCTCCCTGTTCCTTTGACCAGATGGACTAGGGGGCAAGAGCTCCAAGATGTCAAGAGACCCGGATGCAGTTTGATCCTGACCAAGTCATCTGCCTCCGTGTGCCTCTATTTCCCCCTGAGAAATGGGCACACGGGGAGGCTACCCTTGACCTCTCTCATCTTCTGAAAGAGGGTGGCGGGGAAAAGAACCAATGTGTTTGTCTGAGACAAAGGTGAGTGGAGGCGGCAGGAGTCCAGGAGGGGTGGTGTGCACCTCTGTATGCATCAGAAGGATTCCTTTGACTACTGGGGACTGAGCCCTTGGGGGTGGCGGCCAAGCAAGGCAGTGGCCAGCTCCTGGGCCCTTCCCAATGGCTGGGCAGGCCCGCCTCCCACTCCCGTGCCCTGTGCTCAGCCCCCTTGGCAGCACTTCCTGAACTTGTTTTTCCGAATCACTAATTAACTTCAAGCCCAGGCTCCCAGGTGGGCTGGGTCTCTTGGCTAACTTTACTGTGGAGAGAAAAGCTCTCTCTTCCTGGCAGAGCTAGGCTATGCTGTCCCCATCCCTGCCCCCAACTCCCAGGGCTGCCTCTACTGTGACAGTAGGCAGAGCAGGTGGGCAAAGCCAAGCTTGGCTCCCCAGTGCCGCCACCACGCAAGCACCCACACCGACTTCTCTCTGGGTGGCCATGGAGAGTCATTCATCCAAGGCCCCATGGGACTGTGTTGTTTGGTCAGTCTGTTTCTCAAAGGAGGGGAAAGGAGGCCATAAAAGGAATCTGACATTGGCCTTTCGGGGCAGGAGAAGCATCAGGCAAGGTGGGAAGGAACTCCATCCGTAGCCCTCTTTCCTACCCCAGCCTTCGCAGCTACTTCTTGTCAACCAATCCATGCTATAGAATGAATCAGATCAGCCATCCAGCACGGGGCAGGAATCCAGTCTAGCCAGTGGTACATATCCCTACGGGTGAAGCAGCAGGCAACAGGGAGCTGCCCAGGAGCACTGCCAGTAATTCAGAAAAGGCTTTACTGGGCCTGCGGATTGACCCTGCCTTGTGGCGTAGTGGGTTACGCGTGGGGCTGCTTACCTCAAAGCCAGTAGTTCCAAATCACCAGCCACTCCCTGTAGGAGAGAGATGAGGCTTTCTACCCCTGTAAAGGTACAGTCTCAGAAACCCAGTGGAGCAGTTCTAGTTTGCCCAAAAGCACCTATATGAGTCAGAATTGACTCGAGGGAAGCCGGCTTGGGTTTGCTGGGTTGTTTTGTTTTGTTTTGGTGCTCGGTTGCTAATGCACAGGCTGGAAGTTCAAGTCCACCCAGAAGCACCTCGGAAGAAAGGCCTGGCAATCCACTCTGCCAACTAGTCACTGAAAACGCTGTGCAGCACACGGGTTGTCATGAGTTGGCGATCAAAACAGATACAATGGAGAGGAGAGGGGACGGCAGCCCGGCTCAAGACAAAGCTCAGCCTCCCGGAGTTAGAGAGTTCTGAGTTCAGATGTGGCCTCCACCCCTCTAGGCTGTGTGACCTTCAGCAAAGTAGCCAAGTCCTTCCCTCCAGACCCCCGCCGCTGTGCAGTGGCCATCTCTGATCTTCAGCTTCTGTGTAGAATGAGAAGATGAGACCTGGTTCCCAGGACCCCTGGGAAACCCGAAGGAGATGCTGCCTGGGGATCCTGCCTAGAGTGCCTGTCAGTGCCAGGCCCAGTGCGGACAGCCAGCGGATGCCCCTTCCCAACATTCCTTCCTCCGTCCGGCTGGCTCACTGACTTTTCTCAGGCTGACCCCGCTGTGTTCTCCCTTGGTGTTTTGTGCCCTGCTCCTCCCGGCGAAGACTCCCAGGGAGGACAGCATTTCTGAGGGGCGGCCTGGCTCCTTGTTGGATGGGATAAGCCCACAGCCAAGGAGACACGGTGGAGCAGACGGGGGAGCCCACTTGTTTTGGAGCCTTGGACTCCTCTAACCTGCCTGAGGAGGCCTAGTCCTCTTCTTAGGAAGGACGCCCACTCCACCCACCAAGGGAGACAGGCTGCAGACCAGCGCCTGGCAACTGGTGTCCTGACAGTGGTGGATGGCATCGCGTGAATAGCCGATGAAGGCTGCATAATTGGTGTTATTACACACGCATCTCATCTCCATTCATAACGATTGGACGCTTCAACCCGCGGCTCCTCTAGCAAGTGCCGCTCTCCTCATTCCAGCCGGAATCCCTGCAGCTGCCAGCATCTGCTGCTGCCACTCTAGAAACTGATGGGCACATGCTGTTTCTCCCTGGAGCTCCATGTCCCAGCACGCGGGAGGGAGCTGGCATCTCTGGGCAGACCACCCTGTTTCCTGCCAGCATGTTACCTTCCTCCAGAATACTTACTGCCCCACCGTTTGGGGCAGTCATCAGGGACATCCTGGGGCAAGAAGCAAGGGCCAGGGCTGGGGCATGTGGCCCGAGGGGTAGGTCGTGGTGGCTGGAGCTGTGGGTGCTAGATGTGACTGGCAGAAAGGCCTCACCATTCCCCCAGCCCCCTCCTCTGTGCATATTCCCTCAAACAGTGGACTTCAAACTTTAGAATACAGCAGAATTATCTAGAAGGCTTGTTAAAGCAGATCTCTGGACCCCGCCCGCACCCAGAGTGTCTTTATTCTGTAGGTTTGGGTGGGCCCCAGGAGTTTGCCTTTCTAGCCAGTTGGAGTCTCTGGGTGGTGCAGTTAATGAGCTGTCTTTTTCTAGTGCTGCTATAGCAGAAATACCACAAGTGGATTCTTTTAATAAATAGACATGTAGTCTCATGGTGCAGAAGGCTACAAGTCCGAATTCCAAGTGCCCGCTCTAAGCAGAAGACTACCTATGGCTCTGGAGGAAGGTCCTCTCACCTTTCAACATCTGGGGCCCCACTCTTCCTTGGCGATCTCCATATTCCGTGGCATCCCTCTTCCCCTGGGTCTAGGAGGTTCTCAGTGCAAGGGCCCTGGATCCAGAGGATGTGCTCTGCTCCCAGATTTTCTGCCTTGGTGGGAATCAGGTCCCTCTGCTCTCAGCTCTCTTGTGTGTCTAAGATACCTCAAGCAAGGTTGGCTTTAGATACAGTCTAGTCCGGTAGATTGTATCCTGCCTTATTAACACAACTGCCTCCACTCATGCTTGGTTTGAATCAGAGAAGTTAAGTTAATTATACTAGAATGCAGAGTGAGGGATGTTTATATCCCGTTAGTCAAGCAAATACAAATTTTTTTTGTGGGGGGGGAACAATTTTCTACAATAGCCACTACCTGAAAAGGTTGGAGACACCAGTCTACCCAGATATACGTCAGGATAAAGGCCTGGTGAGTTTTGAAAAAAAAAACAAACCCCCAAAACGAGTCAGCCCTTGAAAATCTTTTAGAACCGGACCCACGTGGAGTCAAAGTGGATTTGAAGGCAACTATTTTGAACCAGTTTCCAGACACTACGGCTGCTCCTAAGCTAGGGCAGGCTCCCTTGGGAGCCACTGCCTTACACTCCTGCCGTGGCCTGGGCACCCCCACAGCCCCAGCGGAGAGCTGTCAGCAGTGCAGATGCCCTGGCCCTGCTGTAGACCTGACGCAGAGGAACCGTTCCAGTTTGAGGGGCCTCAGACCACAGATGGGTTAGAGGTGGACGGAGGAGTGAGTAGATTGCAGGCAGGGCTGGGCAGCTCTACTTCCCTGGCCCAGGGCTACCAGCTAAGAGCACAGTCGAGCCCCCCCCCCCCGCCCCCCTGCACTGGAATGGTGGTAACAATGGGGAGGCACTGCCTTAGGGCAGCCAAGCAGTGGAATCCAGACCCCCTGGGGATTCCCGCTCAGAGGGCTGCCCAGGGTGGTGATCTTTTGGAAGGAGAACACCAGGCCTCTATTCTGAAGCATGTCTGGCTGCATCTGAACTATCAACCTTAAATTAGGGTCCCAGCACGTAACCATTGGTGCCACCCAGGGACTCGGTCATGTCAGTAAGAACTGTCATTTGTGTATCCCTGCCTCTGTGCATATCCCCTGAGCCAAGCTCCTGCCGAGCAGGTGACCTGACAGTCACACCACAGGGTGGGCACCAGAGTCGCCCTCTTTTTACACAGCATGCCCGGGCAGTCCGGCCCCTGGCCAAGCCATCTAGCCAGGGGTCCTACGCTCTCCTTTGCCCCTCATCTCCTAATCGCCGTTGACACGTCCACCAGGCAGTCTCGTGCCCCAGGCCCCTCCCTTCCCCCAAAAGGGGCGCCCTGGGCCCAGACCTGTCTGACAGCTACTGCCTCCCCCACCCCACAGGTGGTGGCCTTCGCCTCGCTCTTCTTCATTCTGGTCTCCATCACCACCTTCTGCTTAGAGACCCACGAGGCCTTCAACATCGACCGCAACGTGACGGAGATCCACCGCGTGGGGAACGTCACCAGCGTGCGCTTCCGGCGGGAGGTGGAGACGGAGCCCATGCTGACGTACATCGAGGGCGTGTGCGTGCTGTGGTTCACGCTGGAGTTCCTGGTGCGCATCGCGTGCTGCCCCGACACGCTGGACTTCGTCAAGAACCTGCTCAACATCATCGACTTCGTGGCCATCCTGCCCTTCTACCTGGAGGTGGGGCTGAGCGGGCTGTCTTCCAAGGCTGCGCGCGACGTGCTGGGCTTCCTGCGCGTGGTGCGCTTCGTGCGCATCCTGCGCATCTTCAAGCTGACGCGCCACTTCGTGGGGCTGCGCGTGCTGGGCCACACGCTGCGCGCCAGCACCAACGAGTTCCTGCTGCTCATCATCTTCCTGGCGCTGGGCGTGCTCATCTTCGCCACCATGATCTACTACGCCGAGCGCATCGGCGCCAGGCCCTCCGACCCCCGGGGCAACGACCACACCGACTTCAAGAACATCCCCATCGGCTTCTGGTGGGCCGTGGTCACCATGACGACGCTGGGCTACGGGGACATGTACCCTAAGACGTGGTCGGGCATGCTGGTGGGCGCGCTGTGTGCACTGGCTGGCGTGCTCACCATCGCCATGCCGGTACCCGTCATTGTCAACAACTTCGGCATGTACTACTCCCTGGCCATGGCCAAGCAGAAGCTGCCCAAGAAGCGGAAGAAGCACGTGCCACGGCCGCCCCAGCTGGAGTCGCCAATCTACTGCAAGTCTGAGGAGACGTCGCCCCGGGACAGCACCTACAGCGACACCAGCCCCCCTGCCCGGGAGGAGGGGATGCTGGAGAGGAAACGGGCAGGTGAGACGCCCTCTGGGGGCTGAGGAAACCCCCTAGCTAGATGAGCCCTTGGAATCTGGGATTGGGTTGTGTTGCTTAAGGCCTGCGTGTCTGAAGGCAGTGGGAGAAAGACAAGGCTTTCTACTCTGGTAAAGGCGGACAGCTTTGGAAGCCCATGGGGCAGTTCTACCCTGCCCCATGGGGTCACTGTGAGTCAGAATTGACTCAATGACAGTGAGTTTTCTGAAGGCCAAGTATTGAGACTGAATTTCTCTCTCTTCTGATTCTCTGAGAGCGTCCTGAACCTCAAGACTCAACACCAACAACAACCACCTCACTGCCATGGAGTCAGTTCTGACTGACAGTGATCCTATAGGACAGGGTAGAACTGCCCCTGTGGGTTTCGGAGGCTATATATCTTTAAGAGAGCCAAAAGCCTCATCTTTCTCCTGGGGAGCAGCTGGTGGTTTCAAACTGCTGACCGTGTGATTAACAGCCCAGTATGTAATCCACTACAGCACCAGGGCTCCTTCCTGAACCTCAGGGCCTTGGAATGAGCATCCCACCCAATGTAGACTATGCACAGGATTGTAGATTAGAAGGTCTGGTTTATAATGCCATCTTGAGATGGTCCCTGTCACTCATGTTCTCCGGGCAGTTTCCTCACCTATGAAGTGGACATGGTAACAATGCCCTACTCCCCAGACATGAATGAGTCCTGACTGAGTGACAGATGGAAGCACGCACAAATGTCAGGCACTGTCGTTATTTGCAGGAGAACAGGGCAGCTGTTCCCCCAAGGTGCATCAACACATGAATCACTTCTTCCCCAGTGTTGGAGTCTAGTGTCTCTTGGCCTAATAAATGTGATAACGTAACAGCAGTGGGAGGTTGCCTTCTGTTCACACAAATGAGACTGGAGTCCTGGGTGGCGGGTTGACATGGCACGGAGGGGGCTGCAGAGGGAGTAGCCCAGAGGGTGTTGGCGTGGAGGGGGAGAGGAGAAGCTGGTGCCTGCGCCCTGAGAATGGAGGCCTAGGGGCTGCTCTTGTTCTTAGAGGATGGGAAAACTCATTCTAACAAAGCCTTCGCCAGAGTCAGGAGACAGGAGAGGAAATCAGGTTGCCCACGGTGGGATGGAGTTAGGCTAGAGAGTAGAAGGTGCCCAGTCACTTAGGGATGGAAGGGGCTCTGGGGAGCGGCTGGGGCTCCTGGTGTGGGAGCCCTTGGATATGGGCCATCTGGGAGCTTGGCCCTGGCAATGAAGTGGGACTAGTTCTCCAGGGGACGTGCCTGACTTAGGACCCTCCCCGGTGGCCTGTTGGCATGTGCCCACCATGCGTGCTGATGGCCACTCAGTCCAGGGCTCACTGATCAGCTGACACCATCAAAGACCTTGATAGAGAAGCACCAGGCTCCCCTCTGTCAGAGATCCTCATTCACCATCCCTGACTATTTCTTAGCCCAGTGCACTGAAGGAGCCCAGGAGTCCTGGTAGCACAGTGGGTTAAACAACAGGCTGTCACCTGAACGGTCAGCAGTTCAAATGCACCAGCTATTCTCTAAGAGAAAAATGAGGCCACCTGCCTCCATAATATTTACATCCTTGGAGATCTAGTTCTGCTCAGACCTATAGGGTCCTTAGGAGTTGGCATTGACCCCACGGTAGTGGCCAGGTAGTGGAGCCCACAGCCCAGGGCATCTCAGCTGTGCTCTGAGAGAACCTTCATGTCAGGACCCAGGTCTTGCACTCAGGCAACGTCTGTCACACGGTGGCCCTGCCAGCCCAGCCCTTAGCCTGACTGTAATGGGCCCAAACTCCAGACAATGGAACAGTCCTTGTCCTCCAAATCCAAGGACCCAGCTTCCCCGGAGCTGCTGCCTAACAGACGGGGGACTGATGCTCAGAGCCCACACAGAAATCAGAGCCTTCACCACCTCCACCACCGCCGTCACCCTCATCCCCACCCCCACTACCACCATCACCTCTACCACCATTGTCCCCTTTACCACCATCCCCACCTCCACCACCCCAACCATCATCACCTCTACCACCATTACCATCACCACTACCACCACCCCCACTACCACCATCACCATCACCTCTACCACCATCGTCCCCTTTACCACCATCCCCACTACCATCCCCACCTCCACCAGCCCAACCATCACCACCTCTACCATCCCAACCATCATCATCTCCACCACCATTACCATCACCACTACCACCACCCCCACTACCACCATCACTCCCCCACCCACACACACAGAAGCGGGCATTCTCTACGGAAATGCAAACTTACCACATGTCAGTCTAAGCCAGACCTGAACCCAAGCTCCACACTCACTGACACTGAGTTGATGCCGACTCGTAGCTCCCTAAGGACAGAATAGAACTGCCTCTGTGGGTTTCCGAGATGATAAATCTTTACGGGAATGGAAAGCCTCCTCTTTCTCCCACAGATCCAAGTGATTTCAAACAGCTGGCGTTTGCCGCCTGCCTTGAGCTAGCTGGTCTAGGGTAGCCCTCAGCAGGGGGCCAGTGGGGGGCTCTCTGCTGGAGGATATCTGGGGTGGTCCCCTGCTCCCACAGAAGACCTTCAGCCAAGGCTGAGAAAGGAGCACGTGTTGACCTTCAGGTGCGGATGAGAAAGCGGGGCAGCCCCTCACTCCCTCTGTCTGCTCCCCCAGACTCCAAGCAAAACGGGGATGCAAATGCTGTGCTGTCCGATGAGGAGGGGGCCGGCCTCACACAGCCCCTGGCCTCCGCCCCCACTCCAGAGGAGCGCCAGGCCGTGCGCCGAGCGGGCACCCGAGACAGAAACAAGAAGACCACAGCCTGCTTCCTGCTCAGCGCCGGGGACTACGCCTGTGCCGATGGCAGTGTCCGGAAAGGTACGGCCCCTCAGGCTGGGCAGGTGGGGAGCCCCCATCTGTGGGCTGAGTCTCCCCACCAGAGCTTGAGCTCTCCACCCCCGCTGAGGCCATGGCCACCATCCCCTCTGCCTTGGACACGCCCCCGCTTTTAAAGGCAGCGCCCTGGTCACCCAGGTTCTGTATTAGTAAGGTCTTTAGCACCCCAAAGGGCACACAAGCCCACCCCACCCCAGGTGGCCAGTCGGAAGAGCTCTGGAAGGCAGGTCTAGATGGTGGCGGACATCAGTGCCCTCTGAGTGTGCTGCCATTCCCAGGCCTGGCTCATCAGGGTGCCCCACTGGGCCACTCCACCCCCCACCCCACCCCCAGGCCTCCCATAAGCACAGCTCAGACTCCCTAGCAAATAGGCCCAGGCACAGCCTGGCAAGCAGAGGCTCCTTGGGCCCCACCTCCTCCCATCCTGCACGGAGGCTCTGGAGCCCAGACAGGCTAGTCCAGCTCTGCAGGCACCTGCAGCAGCACTGGCCTCTTGAGACAGAGCCAGATGGAGGTCCTGTCTGTAGCAGCGTAGGGAGGGCGGCTGGACTTCCACCACCAGGCCCCATGCCAAGGGCAGGAGCAGGGGCAGAGGCAGAGCAGACGTTGGGCAGTGGAGCAGAGCATCCTGGCCGGCAAAGGTGAGGCAGGAATCATGGGGGCTGGCTGAGGGCTGGAGGGGGTGGGGCTTTAGGGGTCTCCAGGCCAGGGGCTCATTCTGCCAGTTCACAGTCAGCTTCCTGTCTTTCTTGTGACTCCAAACATCTTGCGGAGTCCCTGGACAAACTCAGCTCCCCCTCACAACATCCTTGGCTTCTCTGCCCTCTTCTCAGCCAGCCGTGACTCAGCCAGGCCCCTGACTGCAGCTGGTTTGGGGTGCCCGAACCCCAGAGCTAGCCTGGAAGGAGGGAGGAGGGGCAGTGGCTGTTGCAGGAATAGGCTGGGGTGCCTCCTCTCCCTACTCAGGCTGCCCCCTCACCTACCCTGCCTGTGTAGCACCGTCTAGGCCCCACCCCCACCTGCCTGGGCTCTTTCCATCCACGGCCTCCTCTTCCCGTGGGATTCTAGGCCGGCCTGACACCAGCCAGGGCTGAGTGGTGTGTCTCCCGCTTGGCTGGCATTGCGAGTGGCAGAAGCAAGAACAGTGGTGTGGCAGCTGGGAGGAGATGGCCCAGAGGCTCTGTCTGCTAAGGGGCTGCAGGTGGCTTGTGGGCAGACCTGGAACCTAGCCTGTGTCCCTCACTGCCCTTGGCCTCTGTCCGCCCCATCCCTGGGCTCCAATATGCCTTTCCCTGCCTACTCCAGCCTCCAGCCTCTGGCTTCCCCTGTGTGCTTCCAATGGGTGTCCAGCTGGAATGTGGGAAGCAGGTTACCCCACCACACAGGCCCCTGGACAAAACGCCTGAGAGCCCTGTGCCCTGGCATCCCTGTGCTGCAAGGCTCAGACAGGTGGGGAGGTCTGGAAGAGGCAGAGGGTGTAGTCGTGGAGGGATGGTGTGTTTTTGAGGCCGGTGTCACCTGGGGAAAAGAGGTGGTGTGTGTGCGTCTTTGTCCCCCACCAACCCTCTGGGGTTCTCATGGGGCCCGGCCGCTCTGATTTCAAGATGCCTCCACACAGCATGGCAACAAGCACACAGCTCAGCCAATCAGAGTGACCTTAGAGAGGGAACAGGTGGGTTGCTGGGAAACGGGCCCTGCTCAGCAAGTGTGGCAATTAGCGGTGCCAAACTCCCAGCGCGCGCAGGCACCTTTCCCCGCGCCCCGCGCCACGGTGCTCTGTAGTCAGACTGAGTCAGGACCCGGAGCTGCTAGGTCTCCCCAGCCACCAGCACCAGCCTTCTTAGCTGGAGACTGCCCACGTGTTAGAGGGTGAACCCTGGGCTGGTGCTGTCTGGGGCACCCAGACAGGTGCCCGGCGAGGGCTGTGAGCTCTCTGTACGGCTGGGCTCTGGAGGAGGGGGAGGTGAACTTACTTGAGGGCGAGTAGAGGGATCTAGGGGCCCTAGTCTGTTTTCCGGAGCCTTCCTGGGGAGAGCCAGCCCCCTCCACCCCAGCAGGGTGCCTGCCCGTAGGGGCCCTGCGGCCCGGATCCTCTGGAGCCGTGCTACCCAGGACTGCGCCCCTGACCCATGTGCCTTTTCTTCACCAAGGCTGCGGCGAAAAGTCCTGGAGTCTAAACAACATAGCCGGTGCAGCTGGAACCAGTCTGGGGCTGTCTCCACTGGCGTCGCGATTCAGCTCACCCTACCCTCCGAGAAAGCTCCCGCTCTCCCACCCCTTCCACCCCCTCACCAGCCCACAGCCAGGACACCCTGCCCCTTAGCTGCAGCCTCCCTCGCTGCATGGCTCCCACTCGGGCACGGGCACGGGCACTCCCATGCCCTCCCTGCCCTGCCGCCCAGCTCCCAGACCTCCCTGGGCTCAGTACTGCCCACAGACTGGGGTGAGGGGTGGGATGAGGAGGAGGAATGTGCCCCGCAGCCTCTCTCCGAACACAGCCAGCTCCCCAAATGGCCAGCTCTGCACTCCAGAACAACTGGGGATTGCATCCGGGGCCTCTACCCCACTCGCCCCTGCCTGGGCCATAGGTGCCAGGTCACCCAGGATCAGGCTTTCTGAGCCCTGCCTCCCTCTCAGGGACCCCCACTGTGGGCCAAGCCCACTTACAGGAGGCCAGACCGCTGGGCTGGGGAGCCGAGCCTACCTTTCCCTATTTTTAATCATAGAGAATGCAGTTCCATTTCACCTGGCTTTGAATCAGCAGCCAAAATGAGCCTGCAATGGAAGGTCTCTGTCTGTCTGTCTGTCCATCCCCTACCAGTGGGGGGCTAAGGCTGCCACATGGGGCACTCTCTGTGAGTGCCCGAGGGGCCTGCATGCCCTGAGGAGCACGGGAGCCTGGTGCTTCCCAGCTCCAGCCAGGGGCGCAGGCAGGGCCTCTAGAGGCAGCCCCCCACGGCTGGCTCATGCCTGGGATGGGACCGCTGAGAGCAGGGACACTGTCCTCCGGGGGCCCTGCCCAGACCCAGCGTGTGGAGCCCGGCGTCCCTGTCTGCGCTGCTTCCTCTGCTTCCCCAGACGGTTTTCTTCCCTCTCCGCCCCCCACAAGCTCCCAGCCCTGCCTCTGAGTCACCTGCCGCTCCCACCAGCCTCTGTGCGCTCCATCCCTGCCAGGACCGGAGACTCATCTAATTTCTATAATTAAGCGTATTCATTTACCTAACGAGCCCGGGAGCACAGGTTTGTGAGTCACCGAGAGGGCAGGAGTACACCTTGGGCAGGGGCAGCTGAGGGAACGTGTGCCACCCCGGCCCCGCCTGCTCCTGCACATCCCTCAGGCAGTACGGGATGCTGTGGCCCGGCCTGGCTGCTGCACCCCTCCCCCAGCAGTGGCCCCCAGCAAGGCTCTCTCTGGGGCCTCTCCCACCCAAGGAACTCCTCAGCTGAGACACTTCCTGCTTCACCTGATGGGAATTAGACCTGACAGGAGAGCCGTGAGCCCGGCCATTTTTAGAGTCAGGTTCTGCAACTTTGTGGAGGGAATGACTAAGCCAGGTCCCTGTCTGCTCTTTGTAAAGGGGTGGTGAGGCCACACGAGGAGACCCAACAGGAGGCTGGGAGTCCGGAGGACCATCCGAAAAGGGGCAGGGGATGGGGAAGGCAGAGCGGTGACTGGGACCTACCTCCCCCCCTTCCAGAGGGGGCCCATCTCCCTAAGGCACTGGGGCTCCAGGCTGACACCACCCTCCCCCGAAAGAGGTCTGCGGTGTTGAAGGTGGGTCCTGGCATGCCCTAGCTCTGCTCCAGTCTGTGCGGACCACCTCTCACTTGCTCTCAGGGGCATCTGGGGGACGGCAGGCACGTCAGACTCAGACAGGTCCCCTTCCAGGATAGGAAAGCTTGGGGAGCAGACTGGACAAGCTGGTGCTTGCTCCCCTCACAGCTGAGAATCCTGGTGAGGACAGGCCCAGTTCTGCCCCCGGCACCCAGACTGGACGGGACATGATGAGCTAAGCATCCAGTGGAGTGTGGACACCACACCTATTTTCTCTTCCCCTCGCCTTTCTGGTGCAGGGGACTGAGGCAACTATTTCTGCGGCAGCCTCTCGCTGTCAGGAGTCCAGGTTTCCACAGCACCCACCGCCTCCTCCCCGCCCTACCCCTCCCCTCCCACGGGATGGGCATGCTCACTGCACCCCTAGGGTGGGCACAGATGTCCCTGAGCTTGTGGTGCAGCAGTGCCAGGCTGTTGCCCCGGTGCCTCAGGGAGCCAATCCCTCTGGAAGGGGAGAGACAGGCCCCCGCCAATGGAGAGAATAGGCCAGTCCACCTCCAGCCACCTCTCAGGACCTCTGGGCCTACCCAGCGACCTGGAGAAGGCCAGTGTGGGGCTGCCCTAGGGAAAAACAGCCCCACTGTATGCCCACCAACCTCTCTCTGCAGAGGAGGCAGCCTGCAGAGCTTCAGGCTCTCCCAGGCCTGGGGCCGCCCTCCCTCCCACAGACAGAGTGCAGCTTGCATTCTTGGACCTGTGCTGACTACTGTAGTCCCCAGGTCTTTGCAGAGGACTGGGCCTAGGGGGGACCTCCCAGGTCACTGACCACCAGGTTGAGGTGGAGGTGAAGATAAGGGCTCACAGAGGGCTTGGACTTCTCAATCAAATGCTCAGTCCCTTCCTGGGCAGAGGGGCAGAGCGGGGAGGGTGGAAAACAGCCTCGGGAGGCATTCTTTATCTTACCTGTTTCCAGACCACCCCTGCTGAGGCCACTGCTGTAGCCACAGGCAGGACCAGAGGGCATAGGGCCTATGCACCTGGATGGAGCCCTGAGCGGAGGGGAGTGCAGGGACACACACCAAGGACCCCCTCCCCAACTCTCAGAGGCTCCTGAGGATGGGAAGTTCCTGGAAAAGGCACCCTGATGCCATTGTACCCCCAGTGTAGGCTCATCCACTCCCTAGCTCCCCCTGCACACTTCACCACTTTGCCTTGACTCTCCTGCGACCTCACACCTCACCACCTGCCTGTCCAAGATGCCCCGGCCACCCAGCCTGGCCACCAGTGTGCCTTAGTACCCAGTTGCTGGCAGGGAGGCCCAGAGACCCTGCCCCCACTGGTGAGTTGGGCGTCAGCGTGTATCCAGGCGGTTCTAAAGTGGCCTAGAAAGTTTGGAGCTAGGAGTACTGGGCAGCATGGAAGCATGTTCTCTGCTTGTACCCAGAAAGGGGAGCTGGCAGCCTTGGGCTTCTGTGCTTACTGAGAGGGTCAGAACACACGTCGTCGGCCCAGGGCCAGTCTAGGACGGGAGCCCAGTCTAGGACGGATGCAACCACTACTAGACAAGGAGAGCAGTGGGAACTCCTGGGCGGGCCAGGATGGATGTTGTGCGTGAGGTCTGGACACTGACGCAAACTTCACCTTTACAGGGGGCCTGCCCTGGGACCCTGGGACCGCCTAGCCTCTTAGTAGCTGCAGGGCTGTGGCAAGGTGACCTGGAGGGGCAGAGCCTGCACTCTCGCCCAGCTCTGCAGGGCGACAGCAACCCCTCCCTGTGCTTCCTTAGGGAAACCAGGTGGAGGGAAGATCAGACAGACCCCCAAGACCCGGCCAAGGATGGGATGCAGACAGGCTTCCCGAGGGGCTGCGCTGCTGAACGGCAGGCTCCTTTCCGGCATTCTCTGTGGAGATGGGCACAGCCGCCCTCCCTAACTTCCCCTTCAGCATTCCTGGGAGGCTGTGGGCTGTACATTCCTTCAGATTGAGGAACAGGGCCAGGCCAGGCCTGCCCAGGCAGTGTGCTTAGGAGTCTTAGGGGACAGCCTGGGGTTGTGATGGAAGATGAGGTCAGGTTGGGTTGGAACCTGTCATCGCCTCCAGGCCAGGCTGCAGAGCGTTGGCCCCTCTCCCCACCACACTGGGGCTTTGAAGATCTAGGGCTAGTGGAGCAGGCGTGGAGATGCAATGCTGTAGCATCAGCTGTGTATCATCCTGGCTCGGAGCTGGGTGGGCAGACAGGTGCTGGAAGGGCATGCTACTCCCTGAGGTGTCCCTGCTCTTCCTGGCCTCTTAGTTCTGGGTCCCCCATGCCTCCCAGCTCTGCTCTCAGCCTGCTTCTTAGCCTGCAGCCTGTGGGTCGCTGCAGGCTGCCTCCTAACATCTCACTCTGTCTCTCCCTTTCTTCTGCTGAACTCCTTGCCCCACCCCAGAAGGCAATGTTGAGCCGAAAGCGTGCGTCCCAGTGTCTCATACCTGTGCTCTTTAAACACAGAGACCTGCCAAGACGCCCTCTCGTCCAACTATGCCCAGGCTGAAGTTCTCACCCTCTCTTAAAGCGGCACCAGCGCGAGAGAGACAGGCAGACAGACAGAAAGCCCAAGGCTATAGGGAGACTGGAAAACAGGCAAGAATCTTTCGCTGGAAAAGACTCAGATATCGTTGTTTGCACAGGACTGATGGGAAACCTCCCATGCAACCCTCAGGGCCCGGAGCCATCTGGGCCTGATGTTCTGTTCTACTGTACATTGAAGAGATATATATGCACATATAGTATCTATATTCATACATACTATACTCTTGTGTGTAGTGCACGTGCTATTGGTGGTCTGTCCTCTTGTTAGGCTGTGTCTCCCCAAGTCCGTCCTCCACCCCCACCCCCACCCCTTCCTTCTTCACAGATTTCTCACTGAAAACGTCTGAAATGCCCTGGGGAAGGTGCACCTGGGTGCCACCGGTCCATTTGGCTGGCCCCGTGTTTGACCCTCCCTCTTGAGGGTGTTTCCTAAGGCAGTAGGTGGCCAGTAGAAGACCATCCTGCCCCCTCCCCACAATCACTGCTCCACTAGCCCCTGACCCTACATTGGGTTTCTACCTCCCACCCCACGCCCCAGTTGTGGGGGCTTCCAGGGGCTCCCCCTCAGCCCCCACTCCTCTCTCTGGCCCCACCTGTTTCCTTGCCTAAGGGGGCGTTTCGTCTTACTGTCATCTTTTTGCCCCGACTCCTTTGTCCGTTTGTTTTCAAAGATGCTGCTGGGCAGGCAGGCAGGAACGGGTTCTGTCTGCCCAGCTGGCTCAGGGGTCTGAGAAGGGGACGCCTCCAGCGAGCGAGCGGAGACCAGTTGCAATACTGTACTTCCTGGCCGGTGGCCAGAGCATGAGTGCAATAGCAGAGGCCAGGTGACCCCCTTCAGCCTTGGCCTCTGCCCCCCACCCCAGCTCCACTCCCGTCCCCACCCTGCCGTCCCTGCCCTGTCCCTGGTGTTGGTCCGTCCTTTTCTGAGCTGTCTCCTTGTGTGTGTCTGAGGTGTGCTTAGGCGGGGACCCCCTGCCCTGTCTGCAGGCCTCTGACTGTCATGCTGTGCTGGAACCTCAATAAAGACAACTGGAGCCACCTGGCTGCTCCTGCTGTGACTGTCTGACTTGGCTTCTCCTTTCTCGAGCTGTGTGTTCCGGGACTGTGGGCCTCCCACCCCATCACCTGAGCCACACCACACATGGGCGTCCTGAGTTAAGCAACCTGCCGCCCTACCTGGGACTACAAGGCAGCTCACCTCCTGCTCCAGAGACAAGTGCTCCGAAGGGAGAGATTAGCCTGAGGTCACACAAAGGGAAGATGATTGGGGATGACATGGAACATTGCTGCCCTGCTGCCCCGCCCCGCCGGGAGCAAGGACTGGGTTTGTTGTTTTTTTTAAAGGAATCCCACGTTGTTCCTGCTCATTTGCCAAGCAGACCCTCTCCCTGAAATGGCACCAGCTGTCCATGGGCCTAGAACCTGAGGCTGCCAGTCACAACCATGGCTGAGAGGTGACTGGGGAGCAGGGGTGGGAAATACACACATCCTGGGCCCAGGAAAGATAGGGGTGGTGGGAAGTCTGGGCCACAGGTGGCTTGTCCTTCACCTCACACAGGGCTACATAATGTCCCACTCTGCTACCGGCCCAGTGGCTCAGCAGGGCCCCCACCTGGTCTAGTGTCCGACAGGCACCATCTCAAAATAGTAACCTGGAAAGAAGCACCTGCATTTTCTTTTTCTTTAAAAAAAAATCATTTTATGGGGGCTCATACAACTCTTATCACAACCCATACATCCATCGTGTAAAGCACATTTGTACATTCATTGCCCTCATCATTCTCAAAACATTT